ACTCTGCCTTATTCTTTGACCCTACTGGAAATCATGCAGGACTTAAAAGTCACGAAGAGCTGAACTGCTCCATCTGAGCCCTCCAACAGTGGACTTTAGCAAATTCTACTTCAAGGGATCCATCAATCCGAAAAGTTCATCGCTGTGCCTAGGATTTTTTTTTTAATTATTTCTAAAATTTCTTCCTTTCAAATTTTTTTTTTAATTTTTAAAGATTTCTCTAATTTTTCTAAATAACGGAAAGATTTTCTAAAACAATTATTTTGCTCAATGTGTGAATAATAAGTGGGTAAACTTAACGAACCCTGTTCAGTTTTGGTGGCCGGTTTCCAGTTGTCTGGCGAAATAATCGGAAGACACACCTGTCCCTTTTCATCGACGTTCGGGTGATAAATCTTCGTCAGAAAAGTAATCTTCGGCGGCTTGAACGGATACTCCACTGGAAAATCTATCGCAATCTTGAATGCGCCTTTGTTGTACGGCTCCTTATCCTGTAAGAGTAAAGAAGCTCGTGAAAAGTTCCACACACACACACACACACAAACCATAAACCAACAATCCATCGACCAAGAAGATACGCATGGAATAAATAGACAAGAAGATAAATATAAGAGATTACGAAATACTGAGGGTTCCAGAAGCCTTCGAAGTGGAAAAAACAGCTTACAAGAAGAGGAGTCAACCCATCTGGCAGTAGTGAAACATACAGAAGCTCATATGAGCAGAAAAAACGTTAAATCCACCTTGGAGCACTAGAAAGAGAGCTAGGAATAAAGACAAAAAGGGTAAAGTTGGTTGGAATATAAGATTTGAATAAAAACGCATTTAAATGAATTCATAAGTAATAAAATGCATTAAAATGTTGGACGATACATGGCCGCACGGATTCGGTGCCAAAAAGTTGAAAAGAAAAAAAAAAAAATGCCGTGTTTACGAGGATCGGGCGAGGACAAGGTGAAAACGCCGCCATCCCAAAGGCGCTATAAATTTGAGTAAAGTGAGGGATTCTGCAAAAAAACAGCTAAAACTGTACTGTCTCCGTCCACTAGCAATAAATGAATAGCAATAAATGAACAGCTTGTTGGAAAAGGACCCGCAAACAGGATGCAAAATGAAACGACCAGAAGTAGTTTTTAATCAAAATGCAAGGTAACCGCGATATGTAGCTTCAAACTTCAAGCCCACGCTGATCGTTAAATTTTGAGAACTGTGCCCCGTGATAAACGATGAAAGTAGGTTTGATTTTGTAGTAACAATAGTACAGTGGAACACTCGCCCTAACCCAAATACTGGGACGCGCAAAGTAACATCGTCCCCCTTTCTGTCTCCTATGCATCGATTACGAAAAAGCATTCGAAAGTATCAAACTGAATCCAGTGATTTGCCCTTCACTTGGAAAGGAGAATGAACAACGATGGTGGCACTCAAATTAATTACGCTTGCAGATTACACAGTTTTCATTCTGAAAAATGAAGTGCTGCCACATGATGCAAAGAAGTGGGTCTGAAAAATCAACGAATCATAAACAAAGATAAAGTAAAATACCGTATGTCTATCGTCAAAATGCAGGTAACCAGTGCTGTCCTGGACAAAATTGACCATCAGCTCTATACTGGAAGTTGGTCTACGCCAAAACCTCCAGCCGGAAACTGCATATTTTTTGTAGTATCCTCAAAATATCGGGCCGGAACAACCACGCTTACCTCTTCAATACCACTGTGTTGAAGCTAGTGATGCGTAAAAGGAAAACCTGGTCACTGATGAAAACAAAAACCGCGAAGGGTAACTGTGATGGAGAGAGCAGTGGAGCGAAAAAAAAAAAAAAAAAAAACACTAATTGTCTCAACATGGCCATATAAGCAAAC